TAGTCCCAGCGACTTGGGATACTGAGGCTTAAGCCCAAGAGCTTGAGGCTGCTGTGAGCTATGATGACACGGCACTCTACCAAGGGCAACGAAGTGAGACTCTGTCTCAAAAAAAAAAAAAAAAAAAGAAAGAAAGAAAGAAAAGAAAAGAAAAAGAAATCAACTAAAGAAAGGCTATATGGAGAAAAAGAGGCCCAGCTCCAAGAGTAAGTGCTAGAGCACTCCAACAGCAGAGGAGAAGCCAGCAAAGGGGACCATGAAGCAACAATCAGTAAGGCAGGAAGAAAACCAGAAGCACATACTGTCCTGGAAACCAGGAGAACCAAGTGCTTCTTGATATAGAGAAATCAACTATGCTTGACACTGAGAGGTAAGGAAGGCCAGAAGAGGTGAACACGGTGCTGGCGGCACAAAGTCACTGGTTGATCTAGACAACTGCAGTTTCAGAGGAGTGGTGAGGATAGAAACTTCTCTGGAGTGTATTGAGGAAAAATGGGCCACAGGGAAGTGAAATCATTTAATTTAGACAACTCTTCTGAGGAGTTCTGCTGTGAAAGGTAGCAAGAAAAATGGGTAATAACTAAAGGGAAGTAGGGACCAAAGTAGGATTTTTTAAAGCACATCGATGTGTTGACAGGAATAGCCTATCAAGAGAAAGATGATACAGCAGAGAGAGAATAATTGTAGGAACAAACACTAAAGTCTTTTGAGAAGTCAAAAGGAGACGGGATTCAAAGGTAGAGAAGAGGAAGATGGTCTTTTAGAGAAGTGGGGATATTTCATTCACTGCAACAAGAGGGAAGGCAGAGAACAAGCACAGATCCAAGTCGCATGGTTGGCACGGAAAAGGAAAAATAAGGGACTTCCCACCTGATTGTTTCAATATCTACTATGAAGGAGGTGGCAAGATGACCAGCTGAGAAATCAGAGAAGGGGTTTTGAAGAGGGAGGGAAATGTGTAAAACAGCAATTTAAGGGACTAGGGAAGTAAACAGATAAGGGAAGAATGTCAGGATTGCTCAGCAGTCTTGAGTGCACATTTTAGTCTGGGATCATGAATTTAAGGACAGACAGGTTTTTCTGCACTTATTTTCAGCTGTTCAGACATACAGACATAAGACATGTAAAGAGTTGAGATTTTTCTATATATATATTTTTTTAAGAGACAGAATCTCACTTTATTGCCCTCGGTAGAGTGCCGTGGCGTCACAGCTCACAGCAACCTCCAACTCCTGGGCTCAGGCGATTCTCTTGCCTCAGCCTCCTGAGTAGCTGGGAATACAGGTGCCCACCACAACACCCAATTATTTTTTGTTGCAGTTTGGCCAGGGCCGGGTTTGAACCCGCCACCCTAGGTATATGGGGCCAGGGCCCTACCCACTGAGCCACAGGAGCTGCTCAGAGTTGAGATTTTTCTAAATTACCATGGAGGAGGCAGAGCAACAAGGAGGTTAAGGGTAATTGTAAGAGAGCAATTATAGTGTTAGACCATGCAACCTAGGCTGAATAAGGGAAGAAGAGGACATGAGAGGGGGTGACAGCTAGTGAAGATGCTCATGTCCCAGTGATGGCTAGCCGTCTACCAAATCCCATTTTCCCTTCTTCTGAATATAAGTGTACCTGGCACACAGCTGGCCAGGCAAACTTCATTTCCCAGGCACCCTGGCTTTTTGTGTGGCTATATGATGAGGACCTCCCAACAGAATGTGAGTGGAAGTGATGCCTGCTACTAGCAGACAGGAGCTCTGCAACCGGGCAGAGCCTCCTCCACACTCTTTCACCCTCCCCTCAGCTCAATCCAGGACAATGCCACAGGGTACAACCAAGAAACAAGATGGAAGACACTCAGGTCTTTGAATGCTGTGAGTGGCAGAATCAATCACTCTGAATGTCTGTCTTGTGCTGTGACCTGAGGGGGGGCTTAAGCCATTGTATTCGGGGTGTTTTGGTTATAGCAGTTTAACCTTATCCTAACTAATTCAGGCTCGGTAAGGGCCTAGAGACTTCAGGGAGTCTAAGATCCTGTGTGGTGGGGGTAGTAAGGACCGTAAGATGAAAGCCTGCAAGAAAGTGGTCAAAGGGGATATACGAAATTGAGACTTCAGAGGTGGGCAGTTAGTGGTGATGAAAAGATATAGGATAGGGCCAAAGGAATGCGTGACTAAAGTATAGGGAAATGGGCTCAGCACCTGTGGCTCAAGCAGCTAAGGCGCCAGCCACATACACCTAAGGTGGTGGGTTCGAATCCCCAGCCCGGGGCCATCAAACAACAATGATGGCTGCAACCAAAAAATGGCCAGGCACTGTGGCAGGCGCCTGTAGTCCCAGCTACTTGGGAGGCAGAGGCAGGAGACTCGCTTGAGCCCAGGAGTTGGAGGTTGCTGTGAGCTGTAATGCCATGGCACTCTACCCAGGGGGATAGCTTGAGGCTCCATCTCAAAAAAAAAAAAAAAAGTGTAGGGAAATGCAAATTAAGTCTCAGAAAGGCTAGAAGCCTGAGTGACTTCACACTCCGCATGCTCTTTCTCCTCTGTCAAGCAATCTAATTCAAAGAAAATAACTGCAGGTAAAATGTTTCTACAAGGAAAGATTAGCTTACCCCACAAACAAAACTTCTCCTGGGCCAATGAGTAGTACATTACAAGAACACAATTACAGACAGTCTCCAACTTAAAGACAGTTCAACTTACAATTTTTTTCACTTTATGACAGTACAAAAGTGATCTGCATTCAGTACATTCCTTATGACGGGGTTGTATCTGGATAAACCCATAATCAGATATTTTCAATTTATGATGGATTAATTCAGACAGGACATAACCCCATCGTAAGTCAAGAAGCATCTGTATTGCTAATACATGATTAGAATCATCAAACTTTGGGATCCTATATTCATCATGATCTACAAAGTATTAGATCATTAAATATGAAATGAACAATTACTTACTTCAAGAGGCCCACTGACAGCATTCAAGCCCTCCCATTCTCCTTTGGATGATCATTATTGACCCATCCAGCCTCCCTCCTTCAAGTCTCAATCCCCTTCCATCTCAAGTCATCTTCCAGATAGCTGAAAGTTACCTTTGGAAAATATTATGCCTTCTACTGAACAAAACCCTAGCACCGTACACAAAACCTCTTTTCCTGATATCCCCTCAGTCTGTTTGGCCTCCTCCACCCAAGCTCTTGCTATAGCTATATTAGCTTATTTACCATTCTACAACCTTGACAGACCCCTTCAAGTTTCTGTGCCTGTGCACGTGCTGGGAATCTCCCTGAAATGTTTTCAACCCTAAGTTACACAATATACTCCTGTTTATCCAATGCCAGCATTCCTTCCTTTCCCACTACACCCATCCTTCTCCATCTCTTCATCTCCCTCCACTGTCCCCAGAGACACACTATTAGAGCTTTTACCACACTGAATTATAATGATCTCTTTGTTTCCTTCTCTCCTCACTCTTAGCATCTTGACATGGTATCTACCCTGACTCATAGCAGGTGGTCAAAACGTGGGTTGAATGCTGAATAAGACTAAATTTAGCTGGTCACTTTGAAGATGCTGAAATTAGCTGAACAGTTTTGGGGAAGGCTCAGCATCTCACTTCACATTCCTTATATTCCCTAGCAAGTCAGTCTGGATGGCAGAGGGAACACAGGAACCAGCTGTCTGCATCCTTGGCTCCTTTTACAGCCTGCTCTGGAACTCAACATTTCAATAAAGCTACCTTCAAAGAGATGTTACTGAACAAGCCTACTATATTTCTGGCGGATACTTTATGCAGATGAAATATAAACAGTATGGCAAAACTTGAGAATGTGACAGAGGGATGTGGCTGGGCTAGCAGGTGTTGGTGGGATGGTTTTGATGACTTGGCCATTCAGGACCAGCCAGTCTCTGTAGGGACACCTGCGGCTTGCTAGCTCCCACTACCTAAATTACAGTACGTGCTACACAGTGTTTGTTTCTGCTACGGCCAATGGGAACTGCTCACTCTCCACCTGCACGACACAGATGGAACAGATGAGAGCATGCTTCCACACAAGGATGCGCAATTATGCCCAGTTCCTCCAGCTGTGACAATTACCAGGCGAAAACCCAAGGGAAGAAAACAATCCCGGCAGATAACTGTCTTCCCTGCTGGCTCTCACCACTTAGTTCTCCCAAGAGCAGCTGCCATATCCATGGCCTCTCATCTCTTTCACAGTCCTTTCTTGAACCCAAGTACTTGAAGAGCACTGGGTGTGATACAAACATAAGGCAGTCATCAAACAGGATACATTTAAGTAAGAAAATACCAAGGCTTTATTTTTTTTTTCTTACAAAGACAGCCCTGCTTATTGGCTAAGTGGAAAGGATATATATTGTTCTCATGAGTAAACAAGATTTACCCTTCAGGCTGCAAACCATAATGCCAAAGAAGTGACATGAAGGGTGTAAAGGTGTAATGCTTTCATCTTCATAGCAATAAAATGCAAAGTAAAGCAAAAGTGAACCAGGCTTAATTAATGCTGGGCATTCCCATAGGGAAAAGGCAAAGGGCCTTTGAATTGATCAGTAGTAGTACTGTATACAATAAAAAAATTCTAGTAGGTTGAGCTGCCCTTGCTCCCTTCTCTGGCTCTCTCTCATTTGAGGTATACCAGGTTAAAACCAACAAAGTGGCAATCAGAAGCTTTTGCTTTAGAGTCCACTGAGATAAGAAGGGGACAAGACCCAGCATGGTGGCACATATGTGTAATCCTAGCACTCTAGGAGGCTGAGGCAGGTGGATTGCTGAGTTCAAGAGTTCCAGACCAGCCTGAGCAAGAGCAAGACTCTAAAAATACAAAAATTAGCCAGGCATCATGGCGACATGCCTGCAATCCCAGCTACTGGGAGGCTGAGGCAGAAAGCTAACTTCACCCCAGGAGTTTGAGGTTGCAGTGAGCTATGATGACACCACTGCATTCTACTAGCCAGGGCAACAAAGCAAGACTCTGCCTCAAAAAGGGAGGTGGGGAGTAAAATCTTGGAAGACCAGATAGCCTAGGTTTGGTGAGGCACCTATGTGCAGCAGTGTCGCATATGGAAGTTGACAACATACTCAGCATTAGTCCTCTGCACAGAAATAGCAAAAGGCTCAAAAGGGTGAAAGGTGAAGGCAACAAGGCGGCGGACCGTATGGTTGATGGGGCGGCCCAGTAAGCCCGCCTGGATCTCAAACTTGAGCAGGCCAGAGTCCCGAGCATAGAACCTAAACAAAACAAGGAGAGACAGAGAAAATATTGACTTTCACCACCAAATTGAAATCTAGACAACAGGAAAATGTTGCAATTCAATATTTCACATTATTAATGAAATCATCAGAACTAAAATCACCTTGGTCTGATCAGATCATTTTAGAGACAGAGTGATAATGAATTTTCCAATGTGATACTAACCATTGGTTCATTTCTTTTTCCTGAGATGGTCCTTAATTATAGCCTTCAATTACAACACTCCACTTCCAGAATTCCTGCCTCAAGACTGTCTAGGCCAGTCCTAGAAATAATAATGTAAGCCCCAAGTGTAATTTTAAGTTTGGTTTGTTGGGGTTTTTTTGCAGTTTTTTGGCTGAGTTTGAACCCACTACCTCCAGCATATGGAGCCAGTGCCCTACTCCTTTGAGCCACAAGCACTGCCCTATAATTTTAAGTTTTTAGGTAGCTGCATTAAAAAAAGTAAAACAGAAACAGTAAAATGAATTTTCACATTTTATTTACTCCAATATAGCCATTGTCATTTCAATTGATGATCATCATAAAAATATTAGTGAGATAATTGATATTCGCATTTTTTTGGTATAAGTCTTTGAAATCCGGTGTGTATGTGACCCGTCAGCACATCTCAACTTGGGTCAGCCACATGTCCAGTGCTCATGAGCCTCATGTGGCTAGGGAGCTAATGACTACCATATAGGACAGTCCAGACCTAGTTTACCTTTGAGTTTTTCATTTTTAAGAATAAATTCTTTTGGAAGGGTCTTCTTTGTCACACACAGAAATAAAATACTACATAGTTTTAAATTTTTCATCTGATACAGTGAGATTAAAGATGCTTCCATCCATCCCAGTACTTAAAATACCTTTTCCCATATGCAAAATAAATGCCCTGAGGTTTGGGAAACTAGAGATGATTATTAGGGTAGTGGCTGAATTAGGGGTAAATTCTAGAAAATAAAAAGCCCTAAATTAAAGAGCTTTATAATTTCCCTTTGGCAAAGCAAAACAAGAGCAGACCTAAAAATACTCACACCCTTTGACTTAATCCCCTTCACAAGAATATCTAACCTCAGAATTTCATCTAAATGAAGTAACTAGTGACATGAATAAAGATGGCTGCTATGACAGTCACTCTAATGTAAAAAATGCAGAAAGAGAATAAATGCTCAGTGACAGTGGAATAGATAAATAAATTATGATACATCTACTCGATGGAATAATATGCCATCATTAAGACTATAATTGTGAGGAATATGTAACAAGATGAAAAAACATTTATAAAATAAAAGCAGTCTAGAAAATATGATACTAAGCACAATCACAACTGTGTAAAACATAAACATGCATATCGACAAATGGAACAGACTAGACTGGAATATACCATAAAGGTGTTAGCATAATGGCATATTCTCCAAAAATGCCTTTAATATCCTTACCATTTCTCATTTTAAATTAAAAATATAAATAAGATCTTGGTGATTGTGAATTGAGCTGCAATAAACATTCTAGTGTAAATGTCAAAAAATATATATAAGTAAGAGTCACAAGAAAATTCCCTTTATTCAGTGCAATGGCATTCTGAGTTTTGTTTTTAGATTCATCTTTTCAAATTAGAAAGGCAGAGAAGTTAGAAAGGAGAAATGTGTGCTACTTGACTCATTATCAAATGGGGCCCATCATATGTTTGTATGTGCAACAACACATTAGTCTTACCCACACATTCCCCAATACACACAAGAGCTTATAATTAAAATGACATGTGCGCCTCCAAATCTAACCCCCAGGGAATATGGGGAAATGAGAAATACGGTAAATACTACCCCAGGGATGCAATGAGCAAAATCTAGAATGTGGGGGAATTCTAGAGGACAAACAACCTGGTTTCTTCAATAATTTTACTGCAAGGAAAATAAAAGAGGGAGGCAGAACTTACAGAATAAAAAAAGACTTAAGGGAATAGTGACCAAATGCAATGCATGAACGTGTTTAGATCTGATTCAAACAAATTAACTATAAAAAGAATATTTACAAGACAATAGGGAAATGTGAAAACTTACTAGATCTTTGCTAGCATTAAAAAAATTTTTTGTTGGGTGGTGCCTGTGGCTCAGTGGGAAAGGCACCGGCCCCATATACGAGGGTGGTGGGTTCAAACCCGGCCCTGGCCAAACTGCAATAAAAAAATAGCAGGGCATTGTGGCCTGTAGTCTCAGCTTCTCAGGAAGCTGAGGCAAGAGAATCGCCTAAGCCCAGGAATTGGAGGTTGCTGTGAGCTGTGTGACGCCACAGCACTCTACCGAGGGTGATAAAGAAAGACTCTACCTCTACAAAAAATTTAAAAAAAATTTTTTTTTGTTAATTTCTTTTGTTAATTTTCTTAAGATGGGATATTGTTCTAAAAACAATTTATCTTTTAGAAATTCATAGAGAAATACTTGTGGGTAAAATGCTAGGATAACTGGGATCTCCTTCAAAATAATCCAGCCAGTGGTAGGAAAAGGATGGTGGAAATAGATAAGACTGGCCATGAGCTGATAACTGCTAAAGTGGGTAACATGTACACAGATATTCATTATACTCTTCTATTTTTTGTGTATATTTTAATTTTTTGGTCCATGTGTAATGCCTGTAATCCTAGCAATTTGGAAGGCTGAGGCAGGGGGATCACTTGAGCCCAGGAGTTGGAGGCTACACAAAGATATGATCACCACACTCCAGCGTGGGCAACACAGTGAGATCTTGACTCAAAAAACAAAACAACTTTCCATAATAAAAAAAAAATTTTAATTGGTTTTCAAACATGATTGCAATTTCCCAAAGGAAATTTAACAAATGTTGATTATACAGAATAGATAACACAGGCCCACTTAACATTCTATGAAGCTCGAAGATGAAATATATCTATTATACAGATCTAGCTACCACTGCTTCTATGTGAAAAAGATCTTCCAAGCTCTAGCTTAGAGCTCCAGGAGCACACATCCCTAAAGTCAATCCCACTAGTGACATCAGTGTCAGTTCCTCTCCCTGGTATCTACCGCAGCACACACAGCAGCACAGGCTCCACATGTGGAGACACAATGGGTCTGTGAACTGGACTTCTGGGGTGGGGGCTGCGCATAGAAGGTTAGTTTCAGGGTTCCAACAATAACATAGCAGCCCACATTCCAAAATTCCTTGAAGTGAGGGAGCAAGGATTTCTGCTAAACCTGCCTATTCCCTAAACTGTCTCTGCTATCTTTTCTAGTGGGTAACATAGGAGATAAAACAATTTCTATTTGGGTGGCGCCTGTGGCTCAAAGGAGTAGGGCGCCAGCCCCATAAGCTGGAGGTAGCAGGTTCAAACCCAGCCCTGGCCAAAAAAAAAAAAAATTCAATTTCTATTTGTGTGTGTGTGTGTGTGAGTGTGTGTATGTGCACACGCGCGCACATGCGCCCCTGTGCTCCCACTTAAGAAATGTGGTCTCACTGTCACCCAGACTGCAGTGCACTAGTACATTTCCAGCTCACTGCAGCCTCAAACTCCTGGGCTCAAGCTATCCTCTCACCTTGGCCTCCCAAGTAGCCAGGATTACAGACTTCAGCTACCACAGCAGGCTTAATCTGTATTAGATATTCATAATAAATAAATCTTCAACTACCAAAACTATTATAGAATGGTATTAGATTATTAAATGGAAAAGTACAGTTCCCTTCCCTGGATACCCTTAAAAGGGAACAACACTGGGCAGTGCCTGTGGCTCAGTGGGTAGGGTGCCAGCCCCATATACTGAGGGTGGTGTGTTCAAAGCCGACCCCGGCCAAACTGCAACAAAAAATAGCCAGGTGTTGTGGCGGGTGCCTGTGGTCCCAGCTACTTGGGAGGCTGAGGCAAGAGAATCACCTAAGCCCAGGAGTTGGAGGTTGCTGTGAGCAGTGTAATGTCACAGCACTCTACTAATGGTGATAAAATGAGACTCTGTCTCTACAAAAAAAAAGGGGTGGGGGACAACACTTATGTGAATTAAATGTTCTAATGAGAAGCAAAGGTCAAGATCAATTAATTTATGAGACTAGCACCTAAATGATCAAAGTACTCATCATGCTACAGAAATAGCCCGTCCTTCCAGTCTAGCCAGTGAGTATGGATAGAAACAGTTACAATGGAAGGATGTCTGGGAAGAAGCAGGAAAGGAGGCCGTGTTTAGCCCTTGGGCAGTTTGTACCTGTAGTGGTGACACTGTACCTGATAGGGTGATCTCCACAAGTTTTGGGCCGCTCCATGACAGACACCCACTTGTCGTCATAGCTGAAGAGAGACAAATCCAGGTAGGGGCTACCACTGTAAGACTGAGCACTGATGGGGAGCTGACCCAGAAGCCTGCGTACTGCCTCTGTGTGCCCTCCATACTTGGCATTTATAATAGTGTCTTTGAACCTAAAACAAAGGACCAGTGACGAAGGCTTTGTTAGTGGGTACACAAAGCTTTCTTGGATTTTAAGTTGACTAACATATGTCTAAAAACAATTCAATCTCTAAATAAAAGTTAAAATCTAGATTCTGAAAAAAGATAGAACTCTTTATCAGCACATGACTAGTCTAACTAGAAATACTCTTAAAAAGCAAAAAAAAAAAAAGCAGAATTAGAAATAGACAATACTAAGTTACTATAGGAAAGTTAACAAAGACTCTATAGACAAATTTAAAACGAGTATAACTAGTGTATGACAACTGTTTCTGCTGTTTTTGATAATAGCTCAACTAGGGGAAGAAGTTCAAAAACTTACTTCCCTCAAATAATAGCCTTAGAATGAATTAGGAAGGTGTTACGGAAAGCAGAGAACCCTGAAGAGCCTCTATGTGACTCTTCTTGGGAAGCTAACTTCCCTCAAATCTTTTGATAAATTACTTATTCTTTGTTTGTTTAAACAAGGTTTGGGAACTAGCATTCTATACTCCTGCAGAAAAACCAGTACTTAGAAGAATACTAACACAGACACAGAGTCATATATATGACTTCTGTTGGAAAATAATGAGACCAGTTATTTCCCATAGCTGTAACAAATACTAAATTTAGTACTCTTTAATCAAGTATTTCTATTCTTCTAGAAATTTACCCTAAGGAAACACTGCTACACGCTGAAAAATCTCTATGCACATTCAATACAGCACTGTCTATGACAATAAAATACTGAAGGAGACCAGCACAGTGGCTCACGCCTGTACTCCTAGCACCCTGAGAGGCTGAAGCAGGTGGAATGCCTGAGCTCACAGGTTCAAGTCCAGCCCAAGCCAAAGTGAGACCCCCCCATCTCCAAAAATAGCTAGGTGTTGTGGTGAGCACCTATAGTCCCAGCTACTTGGGAGGCTAAGGCAAGAGAATCACTTGAGCCCAAGAATTTGAGGTTACTTTGAACTATGGCATCACAGCACTCTACTGAATGTGACAAAGTTAGACTCTCTCCCAAAAAAAAAAAAAACTGAAGGAAAAATTAAAAACCTAATGGAAAACTGTAATTTTCAAAGATTATATGGTAATAGGGGAAATGTTTATCATAATGTTGAATAAAAGAAGTAGGCTACAACGCTGTCTATATTGTAAGGCTAAAAACAACAGAAAAATTCCACTCAAAAAAAAAAAGGCTAACAGAAAAAACATCAAAATGTTAATAATTGTTTAGATAATGACATTTTGGATTTCTTTTTTCTTTCTCACTTTCTTAGAAAGAATTTCAACTATCAGTAATTTTTAAAAATCTGTCTATCAGCTCGGCGCCCATAGCACAGTGGTTAAGGCACCAGCTACATACACTGAGGCTGACGGGTTTGAACCTGGCCTGGGCCAGCTAAACAACGACAACTGCAACAAAAAAAAAATAGCCCGGCATTGTAGTAGGTACCTGTGGTCCCAGCTACTTCGGTGGCTAAGGTAAGGAAATCACTTAAGCTCAAGATTTTGAGGCCACTGTGAGCTGTGACGCCAAGGCACAGCTTGGCCGTGGTGACACAGTGAGACTGTCCCAAAAAACAAAAAATAAAAATAAAATAAAACTCTGTGTATCAAAGTATATTAGATGATTTAATAATTGAGGGAAAATAAATACAATTTTTTAAATTGGGGGGAAAATATGATACAGGTAGTCCTTGAGTTGCAAACATCTGACTTACAGACAACTCACATTTATGAATGGAGGCTATTACAGTTAAGTCCCCAAGTTACAAACATCCACATGAGGTTGACTCACACTTATAAGCAGAGGCTATTACAGGTAATAGGTAAATGTATCTGTTCCAACTTACATACAAATTCAACTTAAGAACAAACCTACAGAGCCTTTCTTGTTCATAATCCAGGGACTACCTGCATAACATCTCATCCCTGAAACCAATGGAATAAAAAACTTGAATGTTCCTAACTTTCATGAGACCAGAAAGATTGATCAGTTGGGATTGATTTTGATTTTCACTGTTAACCTGTGGTGCTGAATGGACATGAACACGTCTCAGCAACCCTAGAAGAAAGCCTAGCTATCAATGCTGCTTTTCCATTACTTGTCCCGACAGTAATTTTCACAGCCTCCGTGTAAATCATTAAAATTAAACTTTGGAACAAACAGAACTTATTTTCTCCTTTTCATTTGAACTGAAATCACAAATCCTTCTAGTGGGCTCTCTGATTTTCAGCAAACATCTAGCACCACCTCACAATCCAGCCCTCACCCTGCCTGGCTCACTGGCTTCTGGCTTTCTCAGGTGAAACAAGGGTTGGAGCAACCCCTCTTCCTCTGCAGCAGCACCCACCTCCCACCATGCTCCCCACGGAGGAAAAGATGACACTCACACTCTCACATCTTCACCAGTTTAGCTCCTAGGTCAGTATCATTCTCTCCACTCTTCTTGGTTTCAAAATTCTCACAACGATCCTTTTAACACTGTGGCCTCCTAGTTTTTTGAACTCTCAAACTCAGACCCTTACTCTATGGACATTCCCTCAACCGTTACCAACGTCTGCAACCCCTCTGTAATCTCACAGCAGACCATCACATTTTCCAACCATCTTCTCTCTTATCTTCCTGCTTACTCCCTTTACTCATCTCATCTTCAGCAATCCTTCAGCCTCCAGAGGACCCACAGTCCACTGATTGTACCCAGCTATTTGCCATCTTATACCCTCAGCATGTCCTCTCTTCTTTCTCCTTAGCCAGCTTTTGTTCCCACAGTCAATCATGTAAATTGCTTCACTATGTTTATCTTTAACAACCTTGAACTCTTTTGCTTTGTGGTAGTTGCCTGGAAAAACTACAATTCTAGCTAATTCCATGCCTGTATCCACTTGGTTTTCTCCAAGGCTGGAGAAAAACATACAACAATGCTCACTTTATGACCATGAACTTTAGGTGGGCCTTTAATTTTACAAGGCACTCAGGCTACATGTCCATAGACATGCCAGGCTCCTACTCTCTTCCATAGCGATTTCATTCCCCCTACTCCATGCTCACTCTCAGCTAATGGCATTGCTGACTTTGTTACTAAAAAATAGGAGAAAGCAGAAGAGAATTTTTTTTTTTAATTCTATCCCACTTACATTTATCTCACTATTTCACTTACTCTTTGAGACACAGTCTCACTGTGTCACCCTGGGTAGAGTGCCAGGGCATCATCATAGTTCACAGCAACCTCAAACTCTTGGGCCCAAGTGATCCTCCTGACTCAGCCTCCTAAGTAGCTAGAACTAAGGCATATACCATGACACCTGGCTAATTTTTCTATCTCTAATAGAGACGGGGTCCTACTTTTGCTCAGGCTGGCCTTGAACTCCCAAGCTCAAGCAGTCTTCCCAGTTTAGCCTCCCATAGTGCCAGGATTACTGGCATGAGCCACCTCACCTGGCCTATTTTGTTTTTTTTTTTACATTTGTTTCTCTGTCATTTCCCTTCTCTTATTTTTTCACTTTACTTTCTTGGAGAGTCCCTCAGACATATCTGACAAATCTCTTTTTTGTCACCCTCAGTAGAGTGCTGTATTGTCACAGCTCACAGCAACCTCAAACTCTTGGGGCTTAAGCAATTCTCCTGCCTCAGGCTTCCAAGTAGGTGGGACTACAGGAACCTGCCACAACGCCTGGCTATATTTTTGTTGTAATCGTCACTGCTGTTTAGCAGTCCTGGGCCAGGTTCGAACCTGCCAGACCTACTGTATGTGGCTGGCACCCTAACCACTGAACTATGGGTGCCAAGCCTGTATCTGACAAATTTTAAATTTCCATGAGCATCTCATTTTTCTAGGAACGTCCCTGTTTTTATTCTCTTGTTCTAGAAATGTTCCTGGTTTTTTTTTTTTCTTTTTTTTTTTTTTAACAGACAAGGTCTTGCTATGTTGCCCTGCTCCATTTCTGACCTGGGCTGATTTACCCCTCCTTAGGCAACCTGGTGGCACCCCCACTCCCGGTAAGTCACCATACTAATGCCGAACTTAGTGCGGACACCTGATTGGCACAGCAAAAGGTTACAGCCTTTTTTTTTTATACAGAGCCTCAAGCTGTCCCCCTGGGTAGAGTGCCATAGCATCACAGCTCACAGCAACCTTCAACTCCTGGGCTCAAGCAAGTCTCCTGCCTCCGCCTCCCAAGTAGCTGGGACCACAGGCGCCAGCCACAATGCCTGCCTATTTTGTTGGTTGCAGCCGTCATTGTTGTTTGGCAGGCCCGGGCTGGATTCGAACCCGCCACCTTAGGTATATGTGGCTGGCGCCTTAGCCACTTGAGTCAAAGGTGCCAAGCCAAGGTTATAGTCTTTGTTTGAGACAGAGTCTCACTATGTCGCCCTGGGTAGAGTTTCCTGGAGTCATAGCTCACAGCAACCTCTAACTCTTGGGCTTAAGCAATTCTCTTGCCCTAGCCTCCCAAGTAGCTGGGACTACATGCACCCACCACAACACCCAGCTGTTTCTTGTTACAGTTGTCATTGCTATTTTAGCTGGCCTGGTGTGGTGGCTCATGCCTGTAATCTTAGCACTCTGGGGGGCCCAGGTGGGTAGAATGCCTAGCTCACAGGTTCAAAGCCCCCTGCCTTGGTACATGTGGCCAGCACCCTAACCACTCAGCTATAGGTGGCAAGCCAAAATGTTCCTGTTTTTATAGCTGCAACTGTTTCAGTTAATGTAATATTGTTTCCTGAATCCTTTATTCCTTATCCTTTATTCCTGCTGATTGTTTTCTTTTGGTTTCTACCTTTTGGGATAAAGGATTTCCTTAAATAACTCATGAACTCTGTTGTCTACTGTTTTCCTTAAAGGCTTATTCTGACCACAGGGACCCATTTTTATTCACTGTTACCAAAAAATTATTGAGGGAAAAAAATCACCATAAAACTTAATATTTAGAGACATGTTCAGAAAAAATAAAAAATGCTTTCTATATATATATCATTTTTTCAAAGCAGCAAAGTATGAAAGAGTGATTAATAAAACATACTACATGAGGATATAATTTTATTGGGGAAATGGAATAAACATATGAATTTGAGAATAAGAAGAAACAATGTAAAATTTCCAACTGGAAATAATTTGCTCTAAACTTGATATCAAATACTTGAATATCAAATTAGTATAGTATTTAGATTCCTTTAGCCATATTTAAAAGTGTTATAATATTTTATTTATTTTTTATTATTACCTTTTTGAGACAGAGTCTCACTTTGTCCCCTTTGATAGAGTGCCATAAGTATCACAGCTCAAAGCAACCTCTAACTCTTAGGCTCAAGCAATTCATTGCCTCAGTCTCCCAAGTAGCTGGGACTACAGGCACCTGCCACAACACCCAGATATTTTTACAGCTGGGGTTTTGCTCTGGCTCAGCCTGGTCTCAAACCTGTGAGCTAGGCATTCTACCCACCTGGGCCCCCCAGAGTGCTAAGATTACAGGCATGAGCCACCACACCAGGCCAATATTCTTTTTAAATGTCAATGTTTAATATATGTTAAAAATAGTACCTTAGGTTGAGCATGGTTACTCATATCTATAATCCTAGTGCTCTGGGAGGCCAAGGTAGAAGGATCACTTGAACTCAGGAGGTCAAAACCAGCCTGAGCAACAGTAAAACCTCATCTCTACTAAAAACAGAAAAATGAGCCAGGTGGTGGTATGCATCTGTAGTCCCAGCTATTCAGGAGGCTGAAGCAAGAAGATTGCTTGAACCCAGAAGACTGAGGTTGCAGAGAGCTATGATGATGCCACTCTACTCAGGGCGATAGCTTGAGGCTCTGTCTCACTCCAGCACGGGTGAGAGCAAGACTCTGTCTCAGAAAAAAAAAAAGAAAGAAAGAAAGAAAGAAAATAGTATCCTCTAGAACTACTTAAATTTAGTAGTAATAGTAAAAATATTTAAAGATCAAATTAGGTGACGCCTATAGCTCAAGTGGCTAAGGCACCAGCTACATACACCAAAGCTGGCAGGTTCAAATCCAGCCCTGGCCTGCCAAACAACAACTACAACCAAAAAATAGCCAGGCATTGTGTTGGGCACCTGGAGTCCCAGCTACTTGAGAGGCTTAGGCAAGAGAATCGCTTAAGCCCAGGAGTTTGAGGTTGCTGTAAGCTGTGATACCACAGCACTCTACCCAGGGCGATAGCTTGAGGCTCTGTCTCAAAAAAAAAAAAAAAAGAAAAAGAAAAGGAAAGGAAAGAAAATCAAATTAAAAATATTTGAGAATATCTATAGTTTTTCCAAATCTTTTGTTTTTGTGTTTTGTGTTTGAAATAGAGCCTAACTTTGTCGCTCTAGCCTAACATGTTGCTGTGGCATGATAGCTTACAGCAACGTCAAACACTTGGGCTCAAGAGATCTTTTTGCCTCAGCCTCCCAAGTAGCTAGGACTACAGGCATGTACCATAATGCCCAGCTATTTTTAGAGACAGGGTCTTGCTCTGGCTCAGACTGGTCTCGAACTCCTGAGCTCAAGCAATCCACCTGCCCCAGCCTCCCAGAGTGCTGGGATTATAGGTATAAGCCACCGGCCCTCTCCAAATCTTTTGGAAGTATGAAGTAAAATTTTAAAGATCACTGAGCAGGAATATATAAACTTTCTCAACTTTTAATTCCTCCTTCTGAGACATTTCTGCAATTTTGCTTAATTTCAAATACATTCTAAAATAATATTTTGAAAACAGTTTCCTCTAATTCCTGTATAACTTCACTTATTCAGTAGATACATAGTGAGTTCCTCCCACACGACAGACACTGGCTTTGGTGTTGTAGAAACAACAGATCAAAATCCCAGCTCTCATGGAGCTTGCTTTCCCATGACTTTGATGTTCTGACTGAGTGTACCCACCTTTTGTTATTGGTTAATGATCTACTTAACATTAAAGTTTATTTTCTTTTATTTTTAGAGTATTTGGAGCTTATTGAAAGACATAAAAAGGCTCTACATAAGTTAAGACAAGGCTTAACAGTAGAGGGATGGTGGAAATGGCCCCCTGTAAAGTTAATTTTAAAAGAAGAAAATTCATTCCAAAATTAAAAAAGCAAATTCTGATCCATGTTCTGCTTCCAAAAATCCTTCTACACTGAATAAAATTACTAACAAGGCAGAATATTTGTGTGAACCAGAGAAAAAGGAAAAGGCAAGTCAGTCATCTGAAATGAATATCTACGTATTTCTAACTGAGTACTGTCCTTTTATATAATATGATGCCACTGCATTAAGATAGCTGTTTTTCATGTTTTTCCTAGTGGTAGTAACACTTATTCTGATTCATCCACTCACTGTGGTCTGATCTATCTTGAGACTTAAAATAGGTACTTTCCATTTTTGGCTAAGGTAAGAGGAACAGTTTAGATATGTGAAATCTGATAAGGTATTGTCTGACTAGAACAGGATTTAGCTTGGGCCCTTAGTCCAAAGAAGCCATTAATTTCATAATAATGCACTAAGGTAGTTATTTAGAAGCTTCAGTTCATAGGAGAGCCCCTTGCTGACTGGTGGGTATCAACTTAGGATAACTTAACTGTTTTGTGAAGGGGACTCCAAGCATCAATATCTGAAAGCCTCTTCTTTGGGTTGGTTGGTTTCCCTAGGGAAAAGTCTCTCATCTCCTCCCTGGAGAAGATAAGCCTAAATGCCACATCAGGGAAAAGGGACAAGAGTTTTACCCTTCAGTATGTCACACTTCACCGAATTCCTGTGTTTAACATGCTATGTCTCATCCGTACTCTAAGACATACCTCAGGAACCTGAGTCAAGAGCTTTTCTGGTTCAATCTGTCTGGAGATTAAAATTCCAGACTTTCATGGAGTTAGAGAAAGAGACAGTAATTTGGCTGTGTAGGCCTAAGGAAAATGTAGGAGGTATGGCTGCTCCTTTTAATAACTTTGCTTGGCTGGGTGCCTGTGGTTCAAGAGGCTAAGGCACCAGCCACATACACCTGAGCTGGCGGGTTTGAATCCAGCCCAGGCCCGCCAAACAACAATGACAGCTGCAATCAAAAAACAGCCAGGCATTATCGGGGACACCTGTAGTCCCAGCTACTTGGGAGGCAGAGGCAGGAGAATCGCTTGAGCCCAGGAGTTGGAGGTTGCTATGAGCTGTGATGCCACTCAGGGCGACAGCTTAAGGCTCTGTCTCAAAATAATAATGATAATAGTAATGATAATGATAATAATAATAACTTTGCCAATCCTTCTGATTTCAGCCTACCTCACAGGGAACTTCCAAGGTACCTAGGGCCTCCAATGTCCTGACCTTTTCCAGAGTTCTCTGGTGTAAGGCAGACTTGTTTCTTGATGATTAAGCTGGGCAGTGTTAAGTTTTTACTCTCGGCTCGGCGCCTGTGGCTCAAGTGGCTAAGGCACCAGCCACATACACCTAAGGTGGCAGGTTCAAATCCCCAGCCCGGGCCCGCCAAACAACAATGATGGCTGCAACCAAAAAATGGCCAGGCGTTGTGGCGGGCGCCTGTAGTCCCAGCTACTTGGGAGGCAGAGGCAGGAGACTACTTGAGCCCAGGAGTTGGAGGTTGCTGTGAGTGTGATGCCATGGCACTCTACCCAGGCGGATAGCTTGAAGCTCCGTCTCAAAAAAAAAAAAAAAGTTTTTACTCTCTGAAGTATGCTGAGTCAATTATTACTCATCTGTTGGCTTTTCAGCTTCTAAAACTTTGTTGATATATTCCATCTCTAACTATCTCCTCTCCCATTCTCTTAGTTCTTACAGGTTTATACCTCTTATTCCTTTATTGTCATTTACTAGGACTTGGGGGTGAAGTAGGGCTAAATGCATTTGTTAACACACCCTTTTTAACCAAAAATTCTAAAATAGTATCCTTAATAATGCATTCAACAAATATTTAAGTGCTTGACAGTACACTTCTGAGGATGTAATGATAAATGAAGACACAGCCTTTATCTTTTTGCAATTCAGAGTCAGATACAGTGATTCACACACGGGAAGAATCATAAACAATACATAAGGAATTACACAGATGCTGAGAGAGAGAAAGGAGAAGTTCAGGATGGTTACAACAGGCAGACTAACCAAGGCCAAGTAGACAGAGATAATAAAGAGAGTTCCTGATGAAAACAACTATTGGCCTGACATCAACTTTTCTAAAGAACGAAGCCTGTTGAGCCAGGTGAAACAGCTTACCGGCGCTGGATCTGCCTTGCAAAATTGTTGCTAGAAGCTGAGCAAGGAAACTGGACTTCACTGTGCAGGGTTGCATTACGGAAGAGGTCACAGAAGTTCTCAAAGAGCTCCAAAAGCTCATCTGATGTATTCTCAAACACAGCAATCACCTCTGTTGTCACCATATTGTAAACCACAAAGAAAGATGCCTGCAGAAGGAGAAAGCGCGCTATGGGACAGGTAAGTATAATGTCATGGCTAGGAAACTTACCACTTGGCTCAAAATTTAAATCACACAAATAAAACAAGCAAACACTTCAACTTTACCACTAGGGTGGAAACGTAGCTCTAAGTGGTTCTGGTAAAAGAGGAAGCATCAGTGGGATTTATCAATTAAGAGCCTCAATGTTGCCAAGTTTCCTATGTATTTGTGCTGCTAGCATTACTGAGTCGGCTGGCATTTATGTATAAAAAGGTTTTCAATTTTCAAACTGTGCAAATTCAATATTTTTCCTTCTGAGTATTTATGCCCTACTTGCTCCCCAACCCACCCTGAGATAAAAAACACTTTCTTAAAAAGCCAGATTTAATTTTCTTTCCTGCTGAGAAAGTGATTTGCAGCCTGGGGCTGCCTGTTGGCAAATTATTTTCCCTTGTACGCGTACAGTTGAAAGTTCAATTTAGGGGCATTTATTTTTCCCTCTTAATATTTCTAACATGCAGAGAGACACCTTAAGTACATGGTGCTCTAAAACTGCCCAGGCAAGTTGTATCCAAGCAGGGTACCATTGCTAAACAAATGACAAATCAGAGAGGCATTTTCCGTTTCTTTCTTCTTAAATGTTCTTTCAGCCAAAAGCATGTGTAAAATACATTTGAGATTTGTAGCAATTAAGATCAGAGGGGGAACCTGAAAAGCATTCAAATGCCATAGGTGGCAGAGATACTGCTTTTTCTGAATGGGCCCCTAGGTGACTAACCCTCTTCCTTTAAGCCTGCAGTGTTCTGCTCTGCCTAACAAGGAGGCTCCAGGCACTTCTAGTTTTTGTCATAGTGAATGTAGTAGTGTAAATTAAACTGCCAGCTTCTAATAGGACTCTAGGTTTTCATAACACTATGTTTAGTATTTTAGCCTCTTACGATGGAGTTTAAATCTCCATTACCAATTTCTGGAGCCAGGTGGCCCAACAGTCTTACTAGCAATTAGTCCTTCCTACAACTTATATTACATGGCCTTGTGGTCACCAGGAAATTAAATTCGGCTGTAAATTAAAAAGACTGGAGAGTAACCTGAGAATAATACCCTTAATATTACAGAGGCTTTGTGTTTAGATGCACCTCTTACTCATCAACCTTAATGGAACCTATCAAATTAGACTGGGGAAGAGGGGGGAATGAAGATGACAACTAGGGCAGAAAGACTGGGTTTTGAGTTACAAACTCTGTAAGCAAGGGATAGAGCTCTAGCAATGTTTCTAGCTACAACTTATTATAGCTACTAGAAAAAAAATAGGTCACCTTTTTGCAAAGGAAAAATGGATAATCTCAAATGCAACGATCATAGATAACATACTGCCTCCAAAATAAAAAAGTAATAATAGCTCAAACCTAAATAAAAGATTGACTCATGTCCTTTCTATAGACTTGGATAACGCTTGGATTATATCAGGGCTTCATCAGGATCCCTCAAAATTATATGAATATAAAATAACACAAACATTTACTAGCCTTCCCTCCAAACCAGACTGGGAAATAAAGAACAGGAGAGTAGGGAAGTCAAGGTCTTCACCACAGATACCCCATAATGCATAAGACAAACTAGATGCTCACCTATGATGCCTCATGGATGACTTCAACGATAGGAAATAAAAAGATCCAGAAAAAAATTATTACTCTCCCCCCCCCCGTTTGTTTAGAATACACAAACTATTCTTGAGGAAAAAACATCAGAATCTCCATAATTAACCACTTTTCTACACTGATCACCTCCGTAAGTTGACCTAACTGTCATAGACTGGAAATCTACCACATGTACCATATCAGTACAGTAAACCTAGTTCCTCATATGGACCATCTCTGTATGTTGACCAGTTTGTGACAGTCCCTGGGTGGTCAATTTACAGAGGTTCTACTATATATATATATATATATATACACTTTTTTTTTTTTTTTTTTGCAGCTTTTGGCCAGGGCTGGGTTTGAACCCACCACCTCCAGCATATGGGGCTAGCACCCTACTCCTTGAGCCACAGGCACCACCCGAGGTTCTACTATATTTTAACACAGATAGCTGGTGAGGTCTTAGAAGATGCCCCTATAATACTATTTCGTAATGGTAAAATCAGCTGTAGGTCAATAAGACACCCACCTCAGCTGACTTCATGGCTTATTGGTTTGCTGGCTAGTCTGAATTTCCAAACTAGCGTCTAAGGAGACAATCTGGAAACAAGAGAATGAGCACAGTGGCTGGGGGGGAAAGTACAGAAACGTAGGTCTCTTACTTATTCAACCAAAGTGGTGGGCTTCTCAAAGACAAATGCCCAAACTACCCTGAACTTCAACATAGTGTTTCAACCCAAGAATCTTTTTTTTTTTTTGAGACAGAGCCTCAAGCTATCCCCCTGGGTAGAGTGCCATGGCATCACGCTCACAGCAACCTCCAACTCCTGGGCTCAAGCAAGTCTCCTGCCTCAGCCTCCCAAGTAGCTGGGACTACAGGCGCCCACCACAGCGCCTGGCCATTTTTTGGTTGCAGCCATCATTGTTGTTTGGCGGGCCCAGGCTGGGGATTCGAACCCGCCACCTTAGGTGTATGTGGCTGGCGCCTTAGCCGCTTGAGCCACAGGCGCCGAGCCCAACCCAAGAATCTTAATGATTTCTGTGCTCTTTACATCACCTTATCCCCTTCTGAGAAATTCCTCTACCTCTTACCAACATATTTCACCCAAATCCAAAAACCTTTAGGACCCACAATCCTGATGATTCTCCAGTGCGTCACAAATTCTGGCTTCCTTTTGATCTTTTCACTGCTCTACAACCTATGTCCCAGCACAGGAGAAAGGTCAGGGTAAAGCAGAAAAACTCAACTCTGTCAAATGAACTTACCTCTTACATACCTTACAAAAAAGGGCTTTATGGAGAAGTAAACTGACATTAATCATTTAAGTAGGAAAGTGAGGTTAGTTTTTTTTTATTTTTTATTTACTTATTTTTTTTAGAGACAGAATCTCACTTTATCCCCCTCAGTAGAGTGCCGTGGCGTCACAGCTCACAGCAACCTCCAACACCTGGGCTTAGGCGATTCTCTTGCCTCAGCCTCCCGAGTAGCTGAGACTACAAGTGCCCAGCACAATGCCTGGCTATTTTTTGTTGCAGTTTGGCCAGGTCTAGGCTCAAAACTGCCACCCTTGGTATATGGGGTCGGCACCCTACCCACTGAGCCACAGGCACCACCTGGTTAGATTTTTTTTTTAAGTTTCTCTCTTTTTTGAGACAGAGTCTCACTCAGCTGCCCTGGGGTTGAGTGGTATGGCAATATTATAGCTCACAGCAACCTCAAAATTTTGGGCTCAAGTGATCCTCTTGCCTCAGCCTCCTGAGTAGCTGGGACTACAGGCACTCACCACAATGCCTAGCATTTTTAGAGCTGGGGTCTCACTCTTGCTCAAGGTGGTTTCAAACTTGTGAGCTCAAGCAATCCACCTGCCTCGGCCTCCCAGAGTGCTAAGATTACAAGTGTGAGCCACTGTACCCATCTTGTGCTCGTTCTCATTGCCAGAACTAAAGAAGCCAGACCAACAAGCACAGTCTTACAAAATCAAAGGAGGATTATCCATAGGCAGTCTAAATCTTGGCCTTGTAACATCTGGGCTTCTATCTCTAGAGTACTTCTCTGCAAAAGAATGAGAAGACTAGTCACAGAGTTGACTATCTACCAGTCAATGGCTTGAGATTTAGTTTCCAAATGTTCAGATGAACACATATGGCCAGAGAAAAATGGAGCTGATTCTAAGTTTGAGCCCTAAGATAGCAATTCAGACTACATAAAATGTTTATTTTTGAGTTGTTGGCTATAGGCAAAGAGAGAAGCCTTCCCATTCTGCCAAGAAGAGTGGAGGGGTCAAGGGCAGGACAATTCACCTCATACCTGGGATGGATCTGTGACCCGTAGTGTTACTACATCCTCACTAGTATACTTGATAAACAGATGGTTTTCATCCAGAAGTTGCATTTTCCACATGCGCAGCTGCCGCAGTTGGTCAAAATATTGGAAAAAGCGCCTTTTAGCCATTGCGCTACCATCCTGCTCTGCCCGACGCCACAAGTATACTAGAAGCCGGTGCTTGAGTGAGTTGATGAAAGGATCCCTAAAGGGATTGGCCATGCCTGTCTGACTGTCCCGCTGTACCTCAGGAAAAACAGCTGACACAGTGAGCAGGTCATCCTCATAGCAGAAGCGGCCAATGGTCCGCACATCGATGAAAGTGCCTTCAGGAGTCACCTGGAAGACATGGATGGTCTGCTGCTGCACTGACAAGATGGCCAGAATATTTTTGTACAGGTAGAGCCCTTGGTTGTGTGACAGAACCACTTTATCACACTTGAATGTGCGTGTATCACATAAGCGGCCAGTGTGAAGGTCAATGATGTGGAGGGAATAGTCCTCTAGAGGGGATCGTGGGTTAGGGGTCACTGATTCACTATTTCGATATACCTCATAAAAAGGAGGGTGAGGTTCATCTGGGAGGTAGGCAGCTGAGCCCACGATGACACACCGGCAGTCATCAGTGAAGAGGCTACACTCCCGGTTCAGGTGCTCACCGTTGGCTGCCACGTTGGTAATGTGGAGCAAGACGAAAAATCGTTCAAAGAGCCGGCCCCGGATGTTGACTGACCGCTGGTCATTGCCATTGGACAGGATCTCCCCCTCATACCCCTGCAGTAGGTCCTCTGCTGCCTGGCAGCCCTGGTACTCATAGATTTCAAGAGATGTCTGGTCTGAAGAAAAAGCAATAAAGTAGCGTCCATCAGGTGAGAATTTGCGCAAGAAACAAGGAGGCTTTTCAACGTTGACAACTGTGAAGTTGGGGAAGACATTCTGGTGGAAAACGCGGACCTGGTGCCAATGGGTACCTGCCTTGCCTGAACTGATCCGCCGGCGTTCCAAACGGTGAATAACATTTTGGTTTTGGATTCTTCGGGGCTTAATGGTGGTAACATGATGATCCATTATCACATCTCTGCATGAAAAAGCAGAAGTCAAGAAAACAAAACAAAATCCTCCAAAATATAAAAACACACAGGTCAAACAAATTTCCCTTCTTATATATCCTAAATTTAAGAGCTCTCCAGTTGACAGTGACTAGCATTTCTCCTTTACAGATTATAGTCAGGAAGTGACATGCCTAAGGCTAGAAATAGGTGTAAGGGAAGGACCTAGTTCACTAGGAATACTTGGAACATATTCCTATTCTGGAATATGTTAACACTCAAGTCATGTGTGACTTCAGCAATTACAAGAGGTGCTCAAATATGACTTGTATTCATCTTTTGTTATTTGTATATATTGAGTACTATAATTTTAACACACTTTTTTCTTTTCTTAAAATGTGTAGACATTTTTTTGCACCCTTTGTATATACATACAATGGAATATTATTCAGCCTTAAAAGGCATAGTGGCTTGTACCTGTAATTCTAGCAGTTTAGGAAGACATGGCAGGAGGACTGCCTAAGGCCAGGAGTTCAAGACCAGCCTGGGCTACATAGTAAGACTCCATCTCTACAAAAATTTAAAACTTAGCCAGATGTAGTACCTCACACCTGTAGTATCAGCTACTCAGGAGGCTGAGGTGGAAGAATAGCTTGAGCCCAGGAGTTTGAGGCTGCAGTAAACTACAATCATACCCCTGTACTCCACGGTGGCAACAGAGTAAGACTCCATCTCTAAAATTAAAGAAAAAAATTTGTAAAGGAAGGAAATTCTAACATATGATACAACGTTCACAAACCCTGAGGACATGTATTAAGTCAAATAAGCCAATTACAAAAAAGACAAATATTTTATAACTCTACTTATGTGAGTTATCAAAAGTTGTCAAATTCAACAGCCTAGTATGATGGCATACCTATAATCCTAGCTACCTGGGAGGCTGAGGTGGCTAGTCAAATTCCACAGCCTAGTGTGGTGGTATACCTAGAATCCTAGCTACTTGGGAGAATGAGGTGGGAGGATCACTTGAGCCCAAGAGTTCAAATCCAACCTGGACAACATAGCAAGGCCCCATCACTAAAAAAAAAAAAAAAAAGTTTTAAAAATTTTTTATCCTTTTTTCTGAAGTTTTCAAATTCATAAAAACAGAAAGCAGAATAGTGGCCACCAGGGACTTGGAGGAGGGAAAGGGAAGGTGCTATTCAATGGATTATATCTGCAAGATGAAAAAGTTCTGGAGATCTATTTCACAACAATGTGAATATACTCAGCACCATTGAACTATACACTTTAAAATGGTTAAGATGGTACATTTTATGCTCTTTTTAAACAAAATTTAAAAAAATATATTGATGGGGCATCTATTATATATCCTCAAACCAGAGCATAAAACAGTAGAGCCCCCATGGAACCAAAAATATACTGATGGGGCATTTACTTTAAGGCTTCCAGATGTTTTATTCCACCTTGATTCAAACCAAAGTTAAATCACAATCCATAAAAGTCAATGTAGTTAATGAAAAACTTTTAAGTTATTAAGCTATTCCAAGGTAAAATGGAGTAAGCAAATGCCACCTTATCTCTATTGCTAAATGTAGCTATGAAACACAGAATACATGTACAGACACTTGAAGACAATAGCAGACTAACAAGAAAGTACCACTCAGCAGACAGTTAAGTTGCCATTGTTTCCTCTGATCCTCTTGCTGTTTGCAGAGCCAGTGCCTGACAGAAAAAGGATAGCCAAAGCCCCAACTTTTGAACCAGAGGATAAAATGGTAGAGCCCCCATGGAACCAAAAGGGATGGGGAGAAGCCATGAAGTTATTGAATGCCTGAGCTTGCTTCTGACCTGCACAGTTGTAGATCTGTTCCAAATCGTTACACTAAAGGCTTTGAGACCCAAATTAACAAGGAGACAAGTATCCCGATCTCAGATGGGCCAATGAGTATCACAAACATGGGACAGATCTAAACAGTATGGCAAAGATTTTGAAAACTGATGTGACACTGGAACCATAGCCTGCAGAAGAAGGGTTGCAAATTGCTAATTACTTAAACCTAATTAGGCAGACTGCTTACTAAACCTAAAATGATCAACATTTTCCATAGAATTTTAAATAAGTCCTATAGTTTAACATACAAAATGTCTAAAATACAATCTGAAATCACTCAGCAGATCAGGTGTGGCAGCTCACGCTTGTAATCCTAGCACTCTGGGAGGCCAAGGCTGGTGGAATGCCTAAGCTCAGGAGTTTAAGACCAGCCTAAAAAGGGCAAGAACCCCACCCACCCACCCAGCTTGGTACCTGTGGCTCAAGCAGCTAAGGCACCAGCCACATACACCTGAGCTGGCAGGTTCGAATCCAGCCCGGCCCGCCAAACAACAATGAGCCCAAGAGTTTCAAGTTGCTGTGAACCACAATGTTGCCAAGGCACTCTACTAAGGGCAAAAGAGTGAGACTAAGTCCCCCCCCCCCAAAAAAAATTACTCAGTATATTACGTACTAGGAAAAAGCTCAAATCAGAAATGACAACTGACTGACAACCAATGTCAATTGAAATTCTCTGACAAAGTTTCTTTTTTTTTTTTTTAAAGAGACGAAATCTCACTCTGCTCACTCCGTTACCATAGCTAGAGTGCTGTAGCATTATACCTCACAGCAAACTCAAACTCTTGGACTTGAGCAATCCTCTTGCCTCAGCCTCCTGAGTAGCTGGGACTATAGTAAGGTGACCAGACGTCCCGCTTTTGGCGGGACAGTCCCAATTTTTAACAATTTGTCCCACGTCCTGAGGTGTTTTTAAAAAGTCCCAATTTTTGGAAAGAATGCACTAGCTAGGAAATGGTGGGGACAACCGGAAGGGAATATAAGATTTTCAGCTGCTGAAAAGGTTAATGTAACTCCATTTGGGAATGAAGAGATTAATGTAACTTCATTTGGAAATGAAAAGGCTAATGTAAACTCCCTACTCCCCCCTCCTGGGCAAGGCAGCCCAGATGGACCAGCGCCCTACTCCTTTGAGCCACAGGCTCTGCCCTATACATTTTTTTAATGTATATTTGTAAATTGTATTTATGTTGAAATTAAAAATATATATATTACAATATTATTTTTGCATTCTGTGAAAATTTTTGTTGCTCCATATAGACCAAATTTTTAATTAAGAACACACCCCTTCTCCGCCCCCCCCCCATCAATGGTGTCCCGCTTTACCAATGTTAAAATCTGGTCACCTTAGACTATAGGCGTGTGCCAGAACACCTGGCTAGTTTTTCTATTTTTAGTAAAAACAGGACCTCACGCTTACTCAGGCTGGTCTTGAACCGTTGAACTCAAGCAATCTGCCCACCTCAGTCTCCCAGAGTGGTAGGATTACAGGCCTGAGCCACTGCACCCAGCCTGTCTGACAAAGATTTTAAAGGAGCTATTATAAAAATGCTCCAACAAGCAATCACAAATACTTTTGAAATGAATGGAAAAAAAAAAAGAAAGTCTCAACAAAGAAAATTTACTTTTAAAGAACCAGAGAGAAAAGTTAGAGGTAAAAGGCAATAACCACAGTAAAAACTAACTGGATGGGATTCAAGAGCAGAATGTAGTCAATAGAGGAAAAAGAAAGTCACCTGAAAGATCAGTAAGGATTATGCAATATGAACAACAGAGAAAAAAAGATTTTAAAAGTCCTAGGGAAAATAAAAAGAGTCTAAGGCCCTTGTCATAAGAATTCCAGAAAGAAACTTCTTCTGAGTTCCAGAAAGAAAGAGTACAATGCTTAAAAATTAAAAACAAAAAAATTGAAGAAATGATGACTGAAAATTTCAAGACATGAACCCCAGATTTTGAGAAGTTCACAGGACAAGACTCCCTCCTCAATCTATGATAAACCCAAAGAAATCTACGCCCACACACATCAAAGTTAAAGTGGGGAAAAGGTAAAGTAAAACTCTCAAAAGCAACCAGATGAGATCAATGCATTACTTAAAGGTGAAACAACAATTCAAATGTCCGTAGACATTTGATGTCTGTGATTCTCATCACAAAACACAGGGCCCAGAAGGAAATAGAACATATTTTTAAGTGCTGACAAGCTGCTGCTGTTTTATCATTCAAGTCTCAGTTAAAACACCAACTCTTGGCTCGGCGCCTATAGCTCAACCGGCTAAGGCACCAGCCACGTACACCTAAGGTGGCGGGTTCGAATCCCCAGCCCGGACCCGCCAAACAACAATGATGGCTGCAACCAAAAAATAGCCGGGCGTTGTGGCGGGCGCCTGTGGTCCCAGCTACTTGGGAGGCGGAGGCAAGAGACTCGCTTGAGCCCAGGAGTTGGAGGTTGCTGTGAGCTGTAATGCCATGGCACTCTACCCAGGGGGACAGCTTGAGGATCTGTCTCAAAAAAAAAAAAAAAAAAACACCAACTCTTCAGAAGTGTTCCCAACCGCCTCACCTCCATCTACATGAATCTATCATTTTACCCTATTTCATTTTATTCAAGGCCCTTATTGCTTTCTGAAATTACATTATTTATTTACCTTTTTATTATCTGTCTCTCTATATCAGAGAGTAGGGACCTTGTCTAATTCCTTGCTATACCCCCAGCACCTAGGACAAAGGCAATAAATGCTCATATATATGTTGAATAAATGGAGCAACATTCAACATGGGCCTTGAAGGATAAAGAATTCACTAGCAAAGTAAAAGAAGAACATTCAGGGGGGAAAAAATGCCTAAAAATACACTTGAAAAGAACATGGCATGGCACCACTGGGAATCAGAATAATTTCAAGCAGCTAGAACACAGAGAAGCACAGAGTGATATAGAAAAAGACTCCAGGAGAATGACTGGATCCAATCTGTATTTTAGAAATAAAAACATATATACAATGAAATATTTACTTTGCTTATATTCTATCTCCCACTAAAAGGATTTCAAATGTCTTATATAAATACATATACATCTGGTGGTGCCTGTGAGTAGGACGCCAGCCCTATATACCAAGGGTCGCGGGTTCAAACCCAGCCCTGGCCAAACTGCAACAAAAAACAGCCAGGCCCTATGGCAGGTGCCTATAGTCCCAACTACTTGGGAGGCTGAGGCAAGAGAATTGCCTGAGCCTAGGAGCTGAAAGTTGCTGTGAGCTGTGCCGCCACAGCACCCTACCGAAGGCGACAAAATGAGCTAAAAATAAATAAATAAATACACATACATCTAGTCAAGTTAAAAATGTACATACCTCTAATACTGAGCTAATCAAGTTTCTCAAACTACTGCTAGTTACAAAGGATTAATAGGACCTTGAAATCAGTTTAGAGGATATTCTTACTGATGTGAAGTACAATAAAATAGAAAGTATCACATGTAGTAATGGTAACATTTGTTTCACTGTACTGAGTAAAGATACAAAATGTATACCGATCTAGACTAGAGCAAGAGTCTATAAGCTACAGCTCTCAAGTCAAATGTAGCCCACTTCCCTGTTTTTGTAAATAAAGTTTCACTGAAACACAGCCTCACCCATCCATTTACCTGTTGTTTACGGCTACTTTTCCCTTACATTGGCAGACTTGAGTAGTTGAGACAAAGACCGCACGGTCCACAAGCCTAAAATATTTACTGTCTGACCCTTTACATAAGTTCTTGTTTTTGCTGAGTTAACTCCTATTTCAGATATCAGCTTACTCATCATTTCCTCAGAGAATTCTTCCTTCAGCTCCCATTAGATAAAAATCCCAATATACTAGCCATACCCCTCCCCTGCACTTAGTATGCTAGCATCTCCGCCTTTGTATTTTACTTATATTTTTGCTCTTAACTATACCTATGCTTCCAAGGACCAGTACACAAACTGTATCTTCTGGCCCGTCGTAGTGTTTGATACATGATAAACCTCCATTCTTGAACACTGAACCAGCCTCCTGCCAAATTCTTGGCCAACTCAGGCACCCACAGGAGCTAGTCCCTCTGCCTGGAATGTATTTCCCCTAATCCTTGCCATAACTTTCCAAGTTGCTGCTAAAGGTCATCTCCTTCAGAAGTCTCCCCGTTATTTGTCTTCTTAGTAATTGTCGCAACTTGTATATATACTTTCATTTGCATGGTTATGTTTTAATGTTTGACTCCTGCTAACCGGTACTCTCCAGACAGTAGCCAGGTCTACTATGGTCATCCCGGTAGTCTCAGCCCAGCACTAGGGCTGGCACACAGCAGGTGTTCGGTACATTACGTAACAGAAAAGGTAAGAAAGCCTGACTGAATCGGGCCACTAACTCACTGTGTGGGCCTAAGTCCTTTTCCCTTGCTGGGTCTCAGTTTCGCCATGGGAGAAGCTGCCCAGTCTCTCAAATCCTTGAGACGGCCTCCAAAATGAAAAGTGAATAACAAGGGGCGGGCAGACACGCCCAAGAGGGCGCCCCCGGAAAGAAAAGGGAAGAGGCGGAGCCTCCAAGGGAAGAGACTTCTGCAGACGGGAGGGGGCTATGGAGCCTTTGGCCCTCGGCTTCCAGCAGGGAGGAGCCTGCAGGGGAGGGTCGGCCGAGCTGAGAGGCTGGGCCAAAAACAAGAAGTCCTCACCTGTCTGGTCCGGACTCAAAGAACGGGGGCGAGAGATGCCCCAGCCTGCTCCGTGCGCACCTCCCCCGGCCCCGCCCCCGCCATGCCTCAGGACCCCGGCGCCCGTGGCGTCAGGGCCCACTTCCGCTAGCTACCGGAAGTGAGGCACAGCGAGAAGGGAAGCAGGAGAGAGGGTAGCACTGTCCAGCCTGGGCTAAGAAATCTTACAACGCACCCTGGCGCCCGGAGGAGGGATCGAAGCCATAGAGGTTCAGTGGCTGGGAAGGAAAAATTAACCCGGAGCCCTCTGGGGAACCTTGTGATCTCCTATGACAGTATCTCTGCATTTGCTGGGCACATTTGCAAAAACTTGTATAAGAATTGATTTTTCATTTCTTTTTTTTTTTTTTTTTGAGACAGAGCCTCAAGCTGTCCCCCTGGGTAGAGTGCCGTGGCATCACAGCTCACAGCAACCTCCAATTCCTGGGGTCAAGTGAGTCTCTTGCCTCAGCCTCCCGAGTAGCTGGGACCACAGGCGCCCGCCACAACGCCCGGCTATTTTTTGGTTGCAGCCATCATTGTTGTTTGGCGGGTCCGGGCTGGGGATTTGAACCCGCCACCTTAGGTGTACGTGGCTGGCACCTTAGCTGGTTGAGCTATAGGCGCCGAGCCGATTTTTCATTTCTTAATTAGATGCTTCATTTCATCAGCTGAGCATCAGCTAGTGAGCACCTCGAGGATTGGGATTGTATTTACCATCTTTGGATACTCTGCCCAATATAGTTGCTGGCACGAAGTGGTATACAGCTCCTTGACCTAATCCTTTTAAATTTAACTTCAAACCTTTACTTGTCTTGTATTTACGTTGTCTTATGTAGTCACTTACGAGCTGGTTTCACCGTTGAAACTTTTGCTTTGTCCTCTTTCTGGACAGCCTAACCCCAAACTTTCTGGCATCAGCCTCTTTCAGATCATTCATGTCTCAGCACAAATGTCACCTCTTTAAGTAGCCTCTCTCATTTCATCCCGCTCATGCTATTTCTACATAGCACTCATCACTGTCTGTATTTTCTCCCCTTTGTTTCTTTTTTCTGTTCCCCACACCCAGTACCACCACTACCATTGGAATTAAACTCTGTTAAAGCAGCCAATTTGCCTCATTTTCTGTTCTATCCTTACCCACAACAGGGTTTGATATCTTGTAGCTGTTCAATAAAAATCCAATAAATGAACGAATGGCTGCTCCCACAGCTGCTTCCTTCACAGCAACTGTGGGGAAGGAATGTTTATTATTTATGCTACAGATGAGGAAACTAAAGCTCAAAAAGGATAAGTAGCTTGGAGAAGAAAGAGCCTGGGTTTCTGGCCCAGTCTTCTCATTTCAAATTGGAGTGTCCTGAGTTACTAGCTTGAGAGTCTCCATTTCTTCTTATGAGAAACTAAGATTATACCTGCCTTACAAGGTTGAAAGAATGAGAGGTGTTATATGTAAAGTACCTCACACAGAGCCCAGTAAACTATTACTATTCCATAATTGCCTGAGGACAAATCCCTTACCTACTGATGATGAAATTAAAACTCCATCCTGGGCCAGGGGGTTATGTCTGTAATCCTCGCACTCTGGGAGGTTGAGGCGAATAGATCACTGGAGCTCAGGAGTTCAAAACTAACCTGAACAAGAGTGAGACCCCTGTCCCTACTAAAAATAGAAAAAACTAGCCAGGCATAGTGGTGCACACTTGTAGTCCCAACTACTCAGGAGGTTGAAGCAAGAGGATTGAGGTTGCTGTGAGCTATGATGCCATGGCACTCTACCCAGGGTGACAGTGTCAGACTCTGTCTCAAAAAGAAAAAAATAAGATAGAAAGAAATTGAGACCCCAGAGAGACCTGACTTGTGCAACACGACACAAGTACAAGTGCCAGAGCCATGACTATGACCGAGGATTTCCATCTCCCTTTTTCCAGGGTTTTTTCCTCAAGGTTTAAATTTTGACTCTTCTGTTTGGATTCCTGCATAATTTTAGGGAACTCACTCACCCTCTCCAAGTCTCTTTTTTTATATCTAAAGTTGGACAGCCAGGCGCTGTGACTCGTGCCTGTAATCCCAGCACTTGGGAGGCCGAGATGGGTGGATTGCTTGAGGTAACAGGCTCAAGACCAGCAAGACCTCGTCTCTAAAAGTAGCTGGGCATTGTGGCAGGCACCTGTAGTCCCAGCTACTTGGGAGGCTAGGCAAGAGAATCGCTTAGCCCAGGAGTCTGAGGTTGCTGTGAGCTATGACATCACGGCATTCTACCACGAGTAACAAAGTGAGACTCTATCTAAAAATAAATAAATAAAGTTGGACAATGTTCTAACCTGGTTATTGGAGAGATCACATGAGAGAATTAGTTTAAACTACCAAAAGCTACTCAGATGGAAATGTCTGAGGCCTGCTACCTCAGTTCTGGGCCTGGGGATTGAAACTGGAAGTTTTAACACCAGTTGCTAAAGGATGAACAATTACAATACCATTTCTATGTGGCTGTGGCCCCAGATAGGGCAGGATGGGGAACTAGACTAAAAAAGAAATCAGCTCAAAATTAATCAAAGACCTAAATGTAAGAGTTAAAACTATAAAATTCTTAAAAGTATAATTCTTTGTTACCTTGACTTAAGCATGACATGAAAATCACAAGCAACCAAAGGAAAAATAGATAAATTAAAACTCATCAATTTTTTTAAAAAACTGTTATACTTCAGGGTGGCACCTGTGGCTCAAAGGAGTAGGGTGCCCATCCCATATACCAGAGGTGGTGGGTTCAAACTGAGCCCCGGCCAAAAAAAAAAAAAAAACTGTTGTACTTCAAAAAGCACCCAAAAATGAAAAAAGATGACAAAAAGAATGGGAGAAATCATTTGCAAATCATATATAACTGATAATCTAGTACCAAAAATGTAAAACTCTTACACTTTAGCACAATCTAATTAAAAAATGGGCAAAGGATCTAAATAGACATTTTGCCATAAAAGGTGTACGTATACCAATAAACACAAGAAAAATCCTCAGCATCATTAGTCATCATAGAAATTTGAATCAAAACTACAATGAGGCCAGGAGCCGTGGCTCATGCCTGTAACCCCAGCACTTGGGAGGCGTAGGCAGGTGGATCCCCTAAGCTCAGAAGTTCAAGACCAACCTAAGCAAGAGCAAGACCCTGTCTCTAAAAATAGCTGGACATTGTGGCAGGCGCCTGTAGTCCCAGCTACTTGAGAAGCTGAGGCAAGAGAATCACTTAAGCCCAAGACTTTGAGGTTGCTATGAGCTGTGATGCCACAGCACTCTACTGAAGGCTACAAAGTAAGACTATGTCTCAAAAAAAAAAAAACCTACAATGAGATACTACTTCATACTCACTCAGTTGGTCATAATTTTAAAAAATGAAAATACACAGTAAATATTGGTGAGAATGTGGAGAAATTGAAATCCTTGTACATTGCTGGTAAGAAAGGTGCAATCGCTATGAACACAGTTTAGCGGTTCCTTAAAAAGCTAAACATAGAGTTACCATATGACACCTAGGTATGTAAAGAAATGGAATTAAAACACAAAAACTTGAGCCAGGCGTGGTGACTCAAGCCTGTAATCATAGCACTCTGGAAGACCAAGGCGGGTTGATTGCCTGAGATCAGGAGTTCAAGACCAGCCTGAATCACAGGGAGACCTTGTCTCTTAAAAATAGCAGGGCATTGTGGTGGGCACCTGTAGTCCCAGCTACTCAGGAGGCAGAAGCAGGAGAATCACTTAAGCCCCAGAATTTGATGTTGCTGTGAGCTATGATGCCACAGCACTCTGCTAAGGGTGACAAAATGAGACTTGTCTCAAAAAACACACACACACAAACAAACAAACAAGCAAAAAAAACCCTTGAACTTGAATGTTCATAGCAGCATTATTTAAAATGTGGAAATAACCCTGGTCCATCAATAGAATATATAAAAGGCACTATATCCCTACAATGGAATATTATTCAGCATTACAAAGGAATAAAGTACTGATAAATGCTACAACATGGGTGAACCTCGAAAACATTATGCTGAGTGAAAGAAGCCAAACACAAAAGGCTACACATGGTATTTCTCCATTTATATGAAACATCTAGAACAAACAGATCTTAGAGACATAAAGTAGGCAAGTGGTTGCCAGGGGCTAAGGGAAGAGGAGAATAGGGAATTATTGCTAGTGGGTATAGGATTTCTTTTTGGAGTGATGACAATGTCCTGGAATTAGATAATGGTAGTGGTTACTCATGACTGTGAATATACTAAGAACTGCTGAATGGTACATTTTAAAATGGTGAAATGTATGGTATGTAGATTATATCTCAATTAAAAAAAATGGATCCCCTCTAGCCAGACAAGGTGGCTTATACCTGTAATCCTAGCACCTTGGGAGGCCAAAGCAGGAGGATCATTTGAGGCCAGGAATTCAAGATCAGCCTGAGCAAAAAGGCTCAGTGAAACCCCCATCTCTGCAGGCATGGTGGTATACCCCTGTAATCCTAGCTACTTGGGAGGCTGAGGCAGGAGGATCCCCTGAGGCCAGGAGTTTGAGGTTGCAATGAGCTATGATGATGCCACTGCACTTTAGCCAGGGTGACAGAGCAAGACCCTGTTTCAAAATAAAACAAACAAAAAGAAATAAAGAAAAGAGGAGCTTTAAGTTTCAGATTGTCTCCAGCTTTGTGGCTGGAATGGCTTGTGGAGCCACCTCTGAGTGGACTGCAGGCCTTCTGCTTCTCCATTCGGCCTGCTAGATGCTGTCCC